AAACCGCTCCTGTTCTTTCATCTATGGCCGATGACATAAATCTAGTTCTCAACTTGATTCGTGGAATCGACCTAAATGAAATCACCACCCTAGCGGCTAAGCTCCGTCGCGCTTCGTCCACACAGGAACGCCTTCTGGCGCTGTGTGAACACGAAGCGCTACTAAGTGCTTTATCATAAGCACTAACATGTTAGGTCCCCCAAACCTTCCACACCCCATCATACTGACCCTTCAGGTCAACCCTCTCTGCCCTCTCGACCTGACATCCCTTCAGGATGCAGGCCACACAAATTGTTACGGGTATCAATTAGCACCCCTCTGGTGGTATGCGATGCTCCCCTCCCTGCCCTCCACACGCCGACCCTTCAGGTCACACCCCCGTCCGATCCGGCTGATCGTTCCCCTTCAGGGAGTCAGCTGTACGTACCTAAATCCGATGTGCCGAGCCCCCCACGGGGTTAACGGCTAACATCTCGACGTCACTATTCATGTAAGTGTTTAGGGACGTCTGCGCCGCCCCCCCCCTTGAGGGGGGGCGGTCGCTCCGATGAAGGTTCGTTGCCTCCGGGTATGTAACCAGTAGTCCAAGGCGGTGTTTAGTCAGTAAGAGTCTGACATAACCCTCACAGCCGGCTGTGTTGGTATCCAATGAAGGATTCACCGCCTCCTTCCTACGTTTATGGGAAGGTGGTTCCGAGCCCATAAGGTTGAGAACCCAAAAAAAAAAAAAAAAAAAAGTAAACTTAATATGGGATTGGAAACCAACCATTCCAGTTATTTACTTTAGCTCTTTGGTTAGGCTCTGAGCTGTGGTCCGAGTTTAAAATCTGACTCGCTTTGGACCAAAAGTTCAAAATTATCAAACGGCTAAAGTGGTTGGTTGTCTTGGTTGAATTGCCATTGGTAAATCGATTAATATAATCATATCTCATGCTTAAATTGACCAATCTTTTGGCAGAATTAACTTCGGTAAATTGTTTGAAACAATCAAGTTTCATATTAATATCGACCAACATGTTGGTTGAATTAACTTCGGTAAATTGGTTAGTACAACGATGTTTCATGCTTATATTGACTAACCTATCGGTTGAAAGAACTACGGTACATTGGCAAGTACATATTTCATGGTTAAATTGGCCAACTCTTTGGTCAAATTAACTTTCGTAAATTGATTAGTTTAGCCACGTTTCATGTTAATTTTTACCAACCTCTTGGTTGAATCAACTGTGGTAAATTGTTCATACAGTCACATATCATAGACATATCGACTACGATCTTATTTAAATTGAAGACTAGGAGGTAGTTGCTATAGTTATTTATAATGATCAAATTGAATGAAATCTTAACAAAGTAACTATAGTAAAAATAATAAAAACCATCTTATTTAATGTATTTAACATCTTGTCAGGCTCATATGGAAACAAGATGCTTGGTCACATATATCACAATATTGTTTGATTTAACAATTTTTTGTTAGAGTGTGGTTCATCACTCAAACAATGCCCTAAACAAAAACATATCTCTAGAAAAGTGATAGTCACTGTTTGGTGGTCTAACGCGGGTGTAATTCATCACATATTCTTACCAAACGGAACGAGCATTATTGCTGATGGGTACTGTGAAGAATAATAATGGAGAACACAATAATGGAGAAGCTCGCACGTCTCCAACGAGCTTTGGTCAATCGTTTGCCTCCACTGCTCCTGCACTAAAACGCGTGACTTCATACTACTGTTGGAAGTTCTCTGCCATCTGGCGTACTCACCAGACCTTGCGCCTACAGACTTCTACTTTTCCAGAATTTGGTTAACTTCTTGGCGGGAAAAAAATTCAATACCCGAGAGGCAGTATAAAATGCCTTTGAAGAATTCGTTGCCTCTTGTCCAGCTAATTTCTTCAAGAAGGGCATCTATGAGCTACCAAAGTGGCAAAGATGAATTGATTGCATGAGTGATTACTTTGATTAAAAGAAATAAAAAATATAGAAAAAAAATACGCTTCATTTTTTTTCATGAAAAACGACAATTTCATAGGTACAGACCTAATACGATCGATATCCAAATAAATAGTTCCCTAGGGACATCAAGGGCGAAGTCGCTGTCGAAAAGCTAGCATTTTATAAATTTAAAGTTAAATTAGGTTTGGTAGGTTAAGGTAAAGAGGCTCTAATTTTCCGCACTTAGACGCCCTCGGTCTATTGTACGTGAAAATTATTATCTTACCCCGGGCAACCTAACTCCGCCCAGAAGCGCAGTAGCTTCTTACGGTATTTACAAGCTCTGCGAAGTGTTTATGGGTAGCCAAGTGTGTGCTACCAGACTGCGTGAGCAGTGGTTCTTGTCTTGGCATACGTGCTCTGTAGAAAGGGTTTATCAGGGATACCTATGTAACTTATATCATGTAAATATGGTAACTATATTTGTTGTGTTAATAGTTAAAGGAAATTTTATAATCAACCAAATCTAGTCGCAAAGAAAACATAAATACTAAACTTTCTATGCTCTGCGTCATATTACCGATTACAATAGGTAATTTATTATATTGAATTGAATATTATGCATTACTCAAATAATTTTAAGAACAAACAAACAACCGACGATTGCTAATACCTTAGAGTAGGTAACCTATAACTTACCGCATTTTTACGTCTGTAAATTATAGTTTTACGATCGAAAATCATTTTTATGTTTCGGTGGAATTTAATATCGCGCTAGCTATGCTCCGCACATTCGCTCTTTTATAGCGCTGTAATTTTATTGTTTTCTCAATTTTTATTAACTATCAACCACCTTCTTAAGTTTCTGTTATAAAAAGATCGATATTCTATGTATAAAAGTGATAATATATTATCAGAAAAATATAATTATTTTTAGACTAATAACAAAGTTTTATAAGTATGAAATGAACTTACAAAGAAAACAGATAATTGCTTAAGAGTTTTCCTCTAGGAAATAATTCATTTATAAACGCTGCGGGCGTAACACCTTCTGTATTGTTTTCAAAGGAGTTTACAGTTTTTAAAGCTACGTCGGTTAATTTATCTTTCAGAAACATAAGTTTTAATGTGGTTGTTGTTTTAATAAACAATTTTGGGTTCTCTTTATTGCACTAGGAATTTGATATTTTATATACCTACATCATCATTGAAGAATTGTGTTTGTATATATTAGAGATCATTACTATTAAACACAGTAAAGATAATTGACATATATTAAATTACCAGTCAAGTGCGAGTGACACTTGTGCCGAGAATGATTCTGAATGAATATCAAATTTTGGAAACTATAGATTTCAGCAATAATTTTTCCAAAACAAATTAGCGTTTCACCTTAGAATAATAGATAATAAATAAGCTAGTAATACGAATTTTGCCACTTTTTTCCCACCCTGAAAAATTAATCAACTTGGTTTACAATCGTATTCACAACTTTTTACGAGTTCACCTGCGTTCTGAGACTTGCGTGTGGTTTTTTGTAGATGTGTATGGGTTTTGATAGGATTACGATTTTTTTGCGACACTGGGATCAAGAAACATAACAATAAGAACATAAGAATATACGTCAAAAACATACAAAAAAAAGTTTATATCAGATTAAAGAGATCGCACTAGGAACTAATAATATCAATAGTAGAGTAGAAGTAAAAAGTTAAGCAAATATTTTAATCAATAGATGAGAATTTGAATATTATTCAAGAGTCGTATTATATTCAAGAAGAAATAATTACTTGTGTATGAGTAATAACCTAATTTAAATTCAAATTAATTTATTTCTTGGGTATTCAATTTTTTGGGTATACTTTTTGGGTGTCAAATCCCAACAAAATTCTGCCTAGTTCGGCTTACAAATATTACATAAAATGTTAGATTAGAGTAAATTATGTCATGAATTGATAATAAATGTCAATAATTAAAGTCACAAAAAATACAATTATACGCGTGATGAACTATTTAATTAGCATACAGATAATGTTATATCATTTAGATAATCTTTTACAGAATAATAAAATATACAAACTATACAAATTAATTTTGAATGAACGGAGAGTCCCAATTTTCAAAGCATCTTGTAATTTATTATAGATACGAATGTCCATGCAATTTATACATTTACTGTTAACTTGCAATCGTTGAGATGGGACATATAATCTCAATTTATTTCGGAAAGTTCTTTTCATAACGTCACAATTTTTTTAAACAATTATGGATTTTTCTGTATAAAAATGCAGATTTCATAAATGTACAAACAAGGTAGCAGTATATTTAATATTTTAAATGAAAGCATACAGCTATACCCCGCCCTACACATATTTTAAGCAAATGAAGTAAGAACTGTCAATAGCTAATAATAATTAATAGTATTCTTACTTTTTATAGTTCTTAATTCATGCAAATTCTTGTTTATTTGTTGAAACTATTTACTTAAGTTTATAACTTCTACTTAACTATACCTCTAGATACAAGTATAAAAATATTACTATTAATACTTTCCGCCAGCGGCTTCGCCCGCATAGTTCTGTATTATACGTATAAACCTTTATCTTGAATCACTCTAACTATTGGAAACTGCTTTGCAATCCGTTGTGCTGTTTTAAAGATTTCAGTGTATGTACAGACGGCGGGCGCGACTTTGTTTTATAGGTGCTACGTGTGATAGATACTATTAACTTTTCACAGCTCTTTCTTCATTCAAAATCTCGCCTATTGGTTAAAAATATTAGCTTCGGTTATTAATTATACTGAAACAGAAGTGAAGTAGGTACGAAATTACTTCTACTTTAGATAGATACTAGTAAAAATGTAGGTCGGTCGGTCACATCGGTTTCCTAGCAACCATAAAACAAAATGCTTTAATTTTCTATGACAACCGTCAGTAGGATAATAAACAATTATTTAATCAAAAGTCATTTTATCAATCAGTTGCAATTTTTAACAATATCGGGGAATTAATTTATTTCAATATTTTTATGTTGTAGTTTGTGTAACAATCGTAAAGTACAAAATGGAATTTCAAAGAACAGTAGGAATTGCCCCAAATCCTGATTGTGTTAAAGAAGTAGTTGCGTGCCAATGTGAGCTCGGTAAAGAGAAATTACTCACAGCTCCACCCTACAAACGTTTTTCATCGTGCCCAGACGATGAAACCAAATCAAGATACCCCACGGCTCCTTGTGCTCGGGATCTAGACCAATACAACTGCCCCATCAGCCACATCCTCGTCACCTTCAAATCGCCCTTGCATCCTAAGGAAGAGTTCAATAAAGTCTTCCCGGCGAATACGCCTGTCAAATTTGTGAAACGAAAGTTAGCCAAATTACTCTCAGTGTCAAACAGCAATCTTTTGCTGACCAAAAAAAGAACTGTGCTCAAAGAAACTAGTGTACTATCAGATCTCAAAGCTGATCCACTAGGCAATCTTGTTATTGATGTATTTACAAAAAATTCGGATGACTTTTCTTTATCGTCGATACCAAAGGAATCATATGTACATGAACTATTGCATTCGCTCATACCAAAGAAAAAAGCTATTCCATTTATAGCAATCAAATTTAAAGTTCGCAACCAAAATGCCGTATTTACAAGATCATATCATTCAATAATTAAAATTCATGAGATAAAAAAGAATTTAGCCGGTCTTTTCCAAGTAGACCCTGATAATGTTATACTGATGCGAGGAGAGCATCCTTTGAAAGACCGTATGGCTCTCCATGATCTTGATTATGATAAATATGGTATAACAGAAGTAGAACTGCTGATGAAACAGAATGAGAAACTCAATTTAGATAAATTATACAAAGAACTGCCAATTCACGACGTGTTAAGTGTTATGGTGCCGTTTGGTGCTACTCTTAAACAAATTAATGTTGAAATTTTCTCTGAGCCTATGAAGAAACCCTATTTGGGCGGTTATAGGAATGTTCACACAGGTATTATAATACCATGCACTAGTAAACTCAAAGAAGGAGAAGTAATAAGACTTTAATTGTGTATTATATTATTTTTTCCTATTACAGGTTTAGAATACCATCATGCGTATACGCAGACACCACAAAAACCAGAGAAAATACCACCAGAAAAAAAGACTTGCAGAGATACTCAGACAGCTGAAGAGAAAGAGAAGATATTTGTAATTTGCTACAATATTATAGCAATTATATTAACTTTATATTTTCATATTCTTATCTAATGTAAGAAACGCTGTATTTTCAGGATACAAATTATAGTAGAGCGGTTCAAATGAACTCTGTACATGCCTACATACCTAATGTGACTGATAGAATTATAGTTCCAAAGCCATATGAAACTTATGAAGAAATGGTGATTCGCCTCAATCACAATCACTATGCTAGTATTATTCAACGAGCTTTTAGACATCATCAATTCAGGCAGAAGGTAGAGAAGTGGCTAAGTGATTGCAGGTGAGTTTATGATCTATAAGTAACGAATGATAAGACATGTTTTCGATATATTTATTAGTATAAAAAAGACTATAGTTTTCTGGTAGAGATTTTCTTGAAGCGATAAAAAATAATTGCATTTAATATCAAGCAAATTGAGGAGACATAAAAAAACTTTAACATCTCTATCATATTGTTAAAACAAAATCAAATAAGACATGATCAAGATGGACTTAAGTACATAATATTTTAAGATCCGGATAGCCTACTTGCGATAGTTCGTTATTTACGGCTGTTTTTACAATTTCAATTTATAATTTAGTGTTGTTCTTTATGGTCTATTTTTAGCAATACCTTTCTGGCTCATTCTTTATAAACGGTAATTCAGAATAAGGTATTATGTCCTGGTTCTGTTTTGATAATCTAGTCATGCGTAATAATAATGAAATGTGCCACTTTCAAATTGCCTCGATAATAAGTTCTTTTTCTCTTTGTTACAGAGAAAGAATAGAAAGAATGAAGGAAGAAGATAGACTTGAAAGAGAAGCTATGGAAAGACGACTACGAAGAGACCTTGTAACAAAGACGTTCCCGAAATCGCGAGAGGACTTCGACCAATTATATGCAATGGTTAGTTGTTTAATTCAGAATTATGAATAATTAATTGATATTATTACGTAATTGGTTTTACTCAATATTATAGTCTTGGGTAAACACTGGATTACAAGGCTAACAGCACGTCAGAATATAAAAAAATATCTCATGATTTTAAACGCTAATGCTTTGAAGGTTGAGTTCTTCTTCTTCTTTTAGTAATGGCTTATCTGTGTATTTTGTACAATTCTGCTATGTCAAGTGAATAAATTAATTTCTATATGTAAAATGAAAACGAAATGTATGAAAGACGGCGATGATTAAATCAATGAGTCGAAGTTTGAATTGTAAATCAATTTGACATATTACAATAAATATTCTTAATGAAATATGCTTATTTTTAAAACTATTTGTTTCGGTTGTTTGGTTGGATTGCCTGACATTGATGAAAATACGCTCACTAGTATTGAAAAGTAACAAGTACTTGAAAAAATCGACAGTCCTGTTGGGTCCTGCGTAATTTAGTGGTTAGAACAGTCGCTTGAATTGCGAAAGGTCGTAGGTTCGAGTCCCATATCAGAGCACCTGGGGCTGGTGAATTTTTTTATTAAATATAATATTGTGGTAAACTGACGTGCTCTGCTTAATTACCTAATTACCTACTTAATATGTATGTAACTTAAATTTCAGGTTGATCGTTGGAAACACGCAGAAATAGCAAGGATATCACAATTGCATTCAAAAGGTCCAAAAATAGCAGAATTCACCTTACTCCTCGATAAAGAAGTGGAATTGTTAAGATGTATTGAGGCATACAGGGTGAAAGTTAAAGAAGACAGTAAAAAGATTAAAGAACAAAAATTCTTGGAAGAAATTTCGAAACCTGTAGCTTGGTTTGGAAGGGACGGTAAATTGATCACTATGGATACTATAGAAATACAGAAAGCGAGGAAACTGAAAGAGTTGTACAATTGTTTCATACGAGAGGACATGGAAGTAAATGAACGCATGGAATTGTTAGTCGACATGAAATTTGCTCTTCAAGAATTCCGCCATCCACTCGCCGAAGAGGTTATAACGCTATTAGATAGAGAATGTGACCTTCTTGTACGACGATGTAATAACTACCAGATCGAATTTCTGAGACGAAGAGTAGCTGCATCGGTTCTGCAATTGATTAAAACTTCCGAATTAAATTCAGGTGTGACCAAATGCAAAGACATAAGAGATTATAAAAAGATGGAGGATGGTAGACTACATTTCTGTGAAATGTGCCATCAAGTTAAACCTCATACAGATTTTCCATTAAACTCTAAGATGAGCGGCTTTTTCGTATGCACCTCATGTTCGTGGAAGGACGTCTCTGAACGTTTATGGATTGACATGACTCCATATAAGTTTATCCTTCGCGCAGTTCAACGTGACGAACGCCGTCGTAAATGCTGGGGATCTTTGGCATTCGTTTTACAAGAGAAAGATATATTTTTTATTGTGGAAAAACTATGGCATTCCCATTCCGCTATAAGTGAATGTAGCGATATGACCGAGCTAAGATTATGTCGGTGGCACGTTAACGAAGATTGGTCTCCCTGGAATTGTTTTCTGGTTACTGTTCAAGAAATGAAAGCTCATTTAAAACTTGAAGCACCAGAGGAAGTTTACGATGAAGAATTAGTGCAAAAGGTGCGTAATAAACATAAGTTGGCTAAGGCAAACTTCGAGCAGTTGATGGCTGTGAACAAACGCTACACAGAAACTGGCGACTGGCAGGGCGTACGTGCTCCAGCCGTGGCGTACACTGAAGCTATTCCACCTATTTAGAAAACCTGTTTAGAATCATGAATAATTATATATTGTTATAGCTATAATATTAATTTATTACCTAATATGCATTACGTATTAACACACGTAATTTGTTGAGAATTTAAAATATGTTCCAATTTGTTTCTTGGAAATTTTATTAATTCACTGTTTATTAGTGGGCTGTAATTTTTTTATCCTTTTCTGTTTATATTATAACGTATTGTACAGAATACTATAATACTACATTATTAATCGATTCTTTACCTATATTAATCGTGTCAAACCAGAAAAAGTTATACTAGAAAAGCTCACGAATTAAATTATGTAATTTTTTATCGTTTTACATTCGATTGTTAATAATGTAAACATTGTTAATTAATGCGGACACTATTGTAGAGCTTTATGTATTATAATTTTAAGACAGAAAACAGATTACAACAGTTACCATAATTGTAAAGGCTTATTAAAATCATCAATAAATCTTGTAGCTGTATATTAAGGCGTTTCGGTTTCGTGAATTTAGTTACCCTCAGTCAGTCAGGCATTTCGGTTTTACGTATTTTCTAAATTAGTTTATAATAAAACAATATGAATGTAATCAGGTTATAATAAGAGCCCGGGACAGTTTTTGCTGTTTTGTCTGCTGCCGGCGCGTCCCCCGGGTGGAGGATGAGCGGCTTTGGCCGTCGTGGACCCTAGAAAAATAGCAATGGGGCTCGTCTGGTGTCTCGGACGTATTCCGAGCAGCAGCAGCCGAGCGGGGGCTGGTTGGCCCTTATTAGGGCCGTCGTGAGGAGCGACTAGGGGGTGGTAAGGCCTTCTTGGTCACCGTCAAGGCCAATAAAGACGGTGGAGCTCAGGGTGACCTAGATGTTTCGGTCGGTTCAGAGGATCTTAGAGTGGCAGTGGCTGCCAAGGGTAGGTTGCTCCCCCGAGCAAATTGCGGCGGGCCCGTTCAGCGTAGGCACAGGGGGTCTTAACATGGCCCTCCTTAAGTGTCCTGTAGTGGCGGCCCATGTGTTGGGTGAGGGAAGGGTGTTGGGTGGGTAGACCCCGGCCAAGGTGAAAAGCTTGAACCCTTGCGCTGTTTCAAGTACCTACATGGATACCAGCCACGTACGGAGGGTGTGCCTAAGGAGAAACGCTCTGGAGTCTGCTTCCGATGCGGCCTCGAGGGGCACAAGGCGGCGTGCCCCTCGAGGCCGCATCTGAAGGAGGCGCGCTACGAGATTTGTGCGGCTGCATCTCTACCAAGCGGACGTGATAGGGAGCAAGAGGTGCTCCCCACCTCCTGTATGGACACGGTCAGTTCCCGTACCCGGTGGTACTCGTGCGGTACCGGCTAATAACCTAACCGGCTAATAACATAACCTTCCTGAGGTGATGGTTCTGTCTCACTTATGGGGGTGCGTCTATGTCGCTGTTAGTAAGAGATACATGGGGAGTCGGCCTGCGTATGCGGGTGAGGGGACTTCTGTGGTCCTGGTTCCGGGTGCGCGGCCCGGCCGCCACATACACTCAAACGGCCGTTACGTCGGCGGTACCATTACTGGGGCCGCGTAGAGAAGAGAGGAAAAGTTTAAAATTCATCGCTAGTATCCATGCAAATTTTGTATGAGTAATTTTTTAGTTTTAAAAAATAATAAAGAAATCTTTCGGTTTATATGTATCACAAGAATCACAAATTCAGTCACAAACAATTGTTTTAGGTATTAATATTAGCTTCAAATTCCTACCCGTTTGTTTAGAATTGTCGTTGCTTTGATCATCAAGTTAACAAGCACACCAATATTCAGAAATATCTCAAATTCTATTGAAGTGAGTGAAATGAAAATGCGAGGTATAGAAATCACTGATTAGTCACAATACGAATTGTGTTTCTAATGTGCCTGCTACCTAGACGTCTAGTTAGCAGGCACATTAAGATCGTTGGATTAATCTTAAGTTTATTTTCCATATCAACTTGATAATAAAGTGTAAATAAAGAATATGTGTTTACGAATTCAACTTCATTATGAACAATTTTTCAAAAGAGAAAACATTAATTCGCATATAGAAAAAAACGTGTCTAAACAATTCAGTCTTCACTTACACACACGTGACTCCGCTCCATTTCTGCCAACAAGAATTATCAGAGTAACATTTTAGAGCCCGTGGTAAAACCCCTGTCCGATATGTTATTTCACAATTAGGATTGGGTTTTTTAGCAAGACTCGGCGTCATCCTATAGGGCAAAAAGGCACCCAAGCTTGGTTTAGGGAGAATGTGCCGGCCTTCATCGCGGCGGACGAGTGGCCCTCCTCCAGCCTCGACCTCAACCCGCTGGATTATTATTTATGGACTGAATTAGAGCTCAGGATCTGTAGAAAATTCCCACCCAAACTTGGAGTCACTAAAGCGAACCATTGTTCGAGATGCAACGCGAATTCAGCTAGAAAAGATTCGTGCCGCCATTGATGACTGGCCAAATCGTCTAAGAGCCTGTATTGAAAACATGTAATATGTATTTGATTTTTAATTATTATCTATTTAAGGGTTCCTGAAAATTTTAAAAATCTAAGTTGATTATTAAATATTATGCAACTTTTATTTCGTCTTAAAACTTATAAATATCAGAGGTGTACATATACCAGTATTTTTTTACCTTTCAGTCGTTAGTCGTTATGAACCATTTGGCAAATCTATCTTGCCATGGACCACCAACTTGGTCAAAAGCATAATATATATTTTAGGGAACGTAACGATCCGACGACTCCACCGCAGATATTTTTAAGAGAGCGTGACTACTCTAGGTATTTAATTTATGCAGTGAATTAAGGAAGCTAGTTCTAATACATCTATCAATTGCTGCAGGACACGGCACATAATACATAGGTACAATGTTAATCACATTAGGTTAAAATATTTAACACCATGCCTTTTTGTCATTCAGATATTCTTTAACGGTATAATATCCTTTACTTTGTAGACAATACGACTTTTAAAATTATTTATTGGCAATTTTAATACATCACTGAGGTTCTTGTTAAAGTACTGTATACCTTGACAAATGAATGAACCTAATACCTTATGTAACCTGTAATAAGGCATTACGAGCTTGTTTTTATTAATAGTGTTAAATTTGTTTACATCATTATGCTTGGTATACATATTAATATAGGTAGGTAGGTGAAAACCAATCTAATATCCCGATATCTTCAATTTTTTCTCTGATAGATGTTCATGAGCCTAATTGATATGTAGCGCTTAGTGTTCTTTTTGTAAAACCAGTAGACTGAATATCGGCTGCCGTTTCTCACAATATAATACCATAGGACATGATACTATGAAACAACCGTATATTATATACTTCTATATAATTAAATAAATAAAATGTTATAATAATTCAGATTTCTTTTTATTTAAATCTGGCTCGCCTGCATATTTTAAATTTAACACCCCTGCTCTAAACGTTCGTTGTCGAGTTTAATTTCAGGTGATGTTTGGGGGACTCAGGGTTCGCAAAAATCTGATATTTATAATATACTTAGGATATTTTATTGCATATGAAATGCTACGATTGTTGAGCTGCTAGTGGCTTTATTTAATATTTGATCTTTTAAATCAAAACTGGGAGGTTAAGGGAGAAAAAGGAAATAGACATTATGACTGTTGCTTCTCAATACATATACGAGAACTTAATGTACGTTCGTAAAAATATATGTTTGTTTTCTATAAAAAGTGATGTACACAATTTTAATACAAGAAATAAAAACAAATTAACGGTGCCTGTCACTAGACTGCAAAAAGTTAATAACTCATTCAAGGGTCTTTGTGTGCGCTTCTACAATAAGGTGCCAAGCAAAATACAACAATTAGATATCATGCAGTTTAAATCTACTATTAAAAAAATACTTATTAAAAAGCTTATTATAAGGTACCCGATTATATAATAGATAAGAACGCTTGGACTTGAGATGATCCAGCAACTGGATAGGTGATTACTTCTAAACTCATTATCTTGTTTCCATTATTATTAAATGATTATGTTATCATTATAAGACCATCGTTTTTTTTTCTATCTCTGTTTATAATGTATTGATCTGGTAATGACATGGTTTTTGTAAATGTCATTACTCTTATCTGAAATCTCTATAAAGTAAAATTGCTACTTCGGGCCAATGTTGCCAGCGTCATATAGGGTTCGTTAATTTTTAGCTGAGACTCAATACCCAATACTTAAACAATCAATAAATATCAATTGATATTATCAATCATATATTAATCGATATATGTCAAGATATACATCCGTTGATATTTATCAAACCCTGATGGGATTTCTTTTAAAATAAAAACATAAGTATTTAAATTGTCTTCTTTTAATAATTACACGTAATACTTTTTAACATAATTACACGTTACATATACAATAATAATTTCTCAAACTCTGGCGATAGTCTAAAAACAACATATTATATTTAAAACACATATGTGATAAAATGATCACCATTTCATAACGAAATGCAAATTAGAGCTACCCCATTTTTACATATACATAGATCAATAAATTACGTAAACATAATTTAGGCATTAAGAATCAATATAGCTGTACAAAGAACACAAAAGAAATTTCATAGTCATTTTATAATAATTATACGAAACCTCTCATGTTATTTTTAATTTTTTTGTTAAAAAATACAACCACGTACAAACACTTATCTGAAATCATATCAACAAAATTCTTAATAAATAAGTAAAGCTGTCACAAAATATCGCTTCCAAAGTGGCCATTGATAATAAAGCCCAGTTCTTGTTATAGTACACATACTCAATGTAATCAAAACAGGCAACAAACGAAATACATAGATTTACTATCGATACAAGCAATCATCTAAAGAATGTATTGAGTGTTGTAGTCTGTTTATTATAATTGACATCAATAAAATAAGCAACGGTGCCATAATTTCTTTAATATGCCCACATTGTCAATTTCGAGTTTGGTGATCAAATATTTAGGTACAATTTTTGTGCCAGAGGTATTTTATAAGGCTGCGACTTCTTAAGAAGACATGGAGACTAGTCAAAATATTACTGAACATATTATATGTGTTTATTGTTTATTATTAATGTCTTTCATTT